ATAGTAAACGTTATAAATAGCTCTTACAGCTTTTTGCAGCCTGTCGCATCACATTTTTGTGATATAAATATTATCGCGAAACGAATAACAAAAGCAGTTGAACTTCATCCAACAAATTTTAAAAAGACAAATATTGTATATAATTGTTTAAAAATAGACATAAGGATACTAAATAGCGACTAAAAGGGAAGAAAGGGAAGGCCACCGTACACGAATCGAACAAGGTCGTGCAACAGGTTTTGCAAGGGGTAAAAATGGCGAAGCACGCGAGCTACTTAGAATCTCCCGAGTGCACATTTGAAACGAGTACCTTTCTTTATTCTCTTTATGAATAAAACGGTCGCTGGATTTACGATTGGATATTTTGAGTGCAATCATAACGAGAACATGGAGGAACAGGATGATAGCACACGTCTCTTATATTTATAAGTTTTGTAAAATTAGCAAACAAGATATATTTTATGCATGAAATATTATTTCGAAAATAATGATATGCTGTTGTTAATTTTGTGGTTCATAAAGAAGCTTTATTTTTAAGCTAGTTAAGGATAATTTCAGGACATTCATTTTATTATGTTTGCAGCATTGTTTATTTACATTTAAGTCTGGATTTTTTCCGAGATTCATCCTTTTGTTTCTGATATTCTATGCACGAGCACGGTCTCACTTATTTACGGATTCGGAGTTCGTTCGTGTACCAGAATGCGTTTAACACAATTGTACGTTTGATACCTTCCTAGTCTGTGACAAACAAAGAAAATATCGGATTTCTGTCGTGCTATATTGACGAGTCTGCAATTCGTAGCTAATGCGTAAAATAGTACAAATGGAATTTCCAACAAAAATTTATCTCGCTTTACTCGTGGGAAACAAAGCAAAGTCGAGGGCATAGACCTGAGAATCTCTTATTCCTATATTATTATCCTCTCACTATAATAGGTAATATTTGTTTTAGTAGCTTTGCAAATAACTTTTGCTAACAGAAATTTTTCGAGAGAAGAGGAAATGACGATACCGACAAAGGTAATGCGTTATATCGAATGATACGAATATGGTAGAGGATACAATCAGTCAATTCCGATGTCGACATAATGCACCGGATGACAAGTAATCATGACTCATCATGCTTGCTATACTTATTTTATTGAAATCAATATTATCTTATATGATCTTCTAAATAACTCGTCTAAAAAAAATTATATCATTATTTTCGAAATAATATTTCAGTATAAAGAAGAGAAAGGTTCTTTTTCGATCAAATGTTATAATATAGAAAAATCAAATCGTTTTATAAGATTTTTGAAAGCAACTCAATCGTAGCTTATCATACATGAACGAATTTGGTACACTTGAATTAATTCGGTCGATATTAGTTTTAAAAAAAGGGAGCAAAGCTTGTTTAATATTCTAATAACAGGATACTAAAGCGGATAAGAAAGAGTGACGGACGACATATACCAGCTGCAAAGTGTCACGGACGCTGATGGGATACCACAGACACGTTACTTCCACCTCTTTCACCACCTTCCATGTACTACATTGAACGTGAACGAAAACCGCTCGCAAGGTCGGAAATACGCTAAGCGCGTGACAACGGTCAGCCGGAAGAGAAGTGCGCGCTAGACTTCAAACATGCGATCGAGATCCGTTTATACTTCACGGAAAGTGGCTGGATGCTACTTTCTACTTTCAAAATCTCAACTGGAAACGATAAGCCATCGCGCTGCTTAAATCAAACATTTCAATAAAATAGGTCGTGTCCTGATATATATCGTCAGTATTAAAAATGTATAGTTCACGTTATGTACTTATACTATAAATTTTCAATACTGGTAGTGTACATCGAAATACAATTATGGAAAAAAAAAGTTAAAGTTGTTTTATTGGACGCGGCTATGTAAGTAAGAAGTACCGAGATATTTTTGGAGCGACATACATGACATGAATACTATAGCTCGAACTTTTCAGTAAAATGTGGTAGGAAAGATAAAAAACTACTGGACGTAATTACGTAGAAAGACAAGTTAATACTGTACGGAGTTATGCAGAAAGAAATATCGCGAGCTATTTTTGTAGAGCGACATACATGATATAAATACCATCATTCTAATTTTCCAATAAAATGTGGTAGAGAAGATAAAAATCTACTTTGAAACTTAACGTGGCCGTGCAGAAAAAATGTATTTTTGTGATATACATGATATGGATACTAGAATGCAGTCTTTTATTTCTCACGACGCGATTTAGTTAAAATTGCGCGTAGATACAGCTATGTGGTTGATCCAACATTGTTTAAGAAATTCGAAACAAACAGATATCTATGATGGAATAAGTCATGCTATATTTTGCATTGCGATATAATGTGTCATATGCCAGTAATTCAATCATAATATATAATTACATTTGCATGTTATTTTTATTCTCGAATTATATAGATTTGCAGACCAAAAATTAATACTTGCTTATTAATTATATAAATTTTTTAAAAATTGAAATAAATCTATTTTAAGTACCTTTTAAATGTCAACGAGGATTCTATTTGCAAATACAGAAGGTATTTTGCCAAAAAGTTTAAACATACTTTTTATTACGAAGATCATTAAATCTCTCTCTCTCTCTCTCTCTCTTTCTCTCTCTCTCTCTCTCTGTTCTATTGACTTTTATCGCTTTTTGTAAAATGCGCAGCGTAAATTATCACGTTCTCAGCACGACGCGTTTAACCATCGCGTCCATCGCGCGGCAAATATGTTCAATCGCGAAGTGAATTTATTCCTTTCAAAGCATGAGGCAAACAAAATTCTCGCGTGCCTTAGCCACGTTTCCGATTATCTCTGACAAGTCGGCATGCTATTTGTGCCTTCTTTGTACAATTAGGAGTTTTTGTCGTCATCCGTACGTCGTCGGCACGAGGGATAGGCCGCCTGTGGGAGATACGATTGAGAGAAACGAAGAGAAGGTGGAAAAAGAGACGTTGTGATAGAAAGAGATGGAGCAGGGATCAATACGCACCTCATTGTCACGAACGGTTTCATAGAAAAAACGATTTCGTCACTTTAGATTCGAATGGATATTGAAATATTTATCAATATATAATCCAATCAACGTTGCTTTTGAATTTTAGTATATAAAATTATTGACGTGTTAATAAGATTAGATGTCAAATTACGTTAAGATTTATTGAGAAACCAAATAATTTATAATTTTCCATTCTCATACCTCAAACAATTTTCCTATCATGCTGGTTGTCATAAATGGATATTATTAATGGTTGGTAACTTGATCCTTTGACAATTTTAATGAAGATATATTTGATTACTTTTTTATATTCGACGTAAATCATAGATTGACTTGCGTTTAAATTTGTGGGATTCAATATTTAAAAATTTATAAAAGAAATTCTGTCTTAAGAATTTTAACTAACGTATTTTTTCTTACAAATAAAATTTTCCTATTGAGTATTGAATGGCTTGGTATATTGGACATCAGCTGCAGAGAGCTCTCTATTACGTGTCAGCGGTAGCGATATAGGTTTTTGCAATCTTTCCCATGTCTGGGAACGCATTGCTTCCCAGTGTACATATCGTGCACATATACTGTCTGTCTGTACATAAGAATTCATAGCTATGAGTAACCGCGAGTATTAAAATCAATATACCGTTTGCACGATTTCCCATAATTATTTCTTCGATCTTTTGCATATAACTGAGACATTCCTGGCATCAATACGAACGAATTAATTTTTCTCTGATTTATAAAAGTTTCGTACAAATGTTATATGCCATAAATTTAATAAAATAACTTGTTTTTTGTTGAAGAACATCAATACATCAGTCTGAAAGAGTTCAAAAAATTTTTATCTGAGAAACGATTTAGTGACTAAACGCGCGTGGCTGTAAACACATGGTTAAAAAAATGAATAAAAATGTCTGGTACGAGGGACTGGACGATCGTGCATTCGCAAGTTAATGGCCAATATTTCGCGATGGAGAAAGCGAAGCGCTGAACGGAGGTCGTGGGCCTCGTTAAAAGCCGTCCATAAACTTAGAGTCGTTTCACACTGTGGGAATCACGATATCACGCAAGAATCAGACGACTCGAATAATTGTTACTATTACACGCAAGAGCGCACAAATTTCTTATTAAAATTATTATCGCAAGTATTATCTTTATATCGGAAATAAAAATAGATCGATGATACTATAAATGATCTCCTTTCAGTTTCTTCATTATCTTTAAGGACGCCAAAGCCTTGAAATTCAAGATACACTGCTGATTTATAACGGGTCCTTACTAACACGAGCTTGACCCACGACTCACGGTTACGACATTGCGTGCCGAGGCCAGTAAAAGCATACAAGCGTCAAGATGAGTCCGAAACAGTTAGATGTATACGCATGTTCTCATAGAACCAGGTTGTTGCATAAGGATACTGCATAATCCAATTCTATTCAAACGTAATCGAGCCTCTTTATACTTTACTCTATATAATTAACTTACATGTACGCATGTGTATCTATTTAATTATATATTAATAACCCACATATACACGGAGGAAAGGAAACTTGCTGCCGCAGAACCATTATTACTTTTCTATATTCAACGTGAAAGCAATTAAATTGTTTTCTACCAATTATTTGATATTGCAACGAAATTTGTTTTCTTCATAAAATAAAAAAATTCTGCTGCGTAAGTTTGTTTATAGAAACATTATCTCGCAACAAAAGAAAATTTAATTTATCGATAAAAGTTCTAAGAAACGTATTTTGTTATGATTTGATGACGGAATAGGAAATCAATTTCTTGAAACGAAATAATTTGCAGAATTAGCAAAACTATTTTTTGTAAATGAAATTAGCATTCTTTTATACAAACATTTTATGCTGTCTATATAATAATTAGGTTGCATTAGTTTGCTAAACATATTGTTAATATCAGGGAATTATTAATTATGTGATAATACAAGCGTGCGAATTAATAGCGGTTTCTGTGTTTCACCTCAGGTTACGTACTCGGCTGATCTCGCGATCGAGATACCAGGCAATCTGAGCCAGGGTGGTTCCTGGTACCGTTTGGATTACAGCCCACCCGTTGGTTCTCCACCGCCGAACACCACCATAGCCGCCACTGACATCGGTGATGTCATAAAGTTCAGGGACGGCCTGCCTGGGACGAGATACGAGTACTGGCTGTACTACAGCAACAGCACTCTTCACGATTGGCTGACGTGGACTGCGTCAATTACGACACGTATGTAATCTGATCCTATCTGATCCTAACGTGATCTTTGACAGCACGCCTTTTAAAAAATATAAATTAATAAAAAAGTATAAATTGTTTATACTTTCATATCTATTATTATTTAAACTGAAACTATCAAGATAAACTGTTTTATATAAATATGCAGTTTATCTTAATGTATAGTTTCGATGAATTTTTAAATTAACGGTTGAACAATTGTAATTACAAACGCAAAAATAGACGAACAACGAACAGTTTGACTTGCCGTGAGTCCCTCTGGAGAGTAAATTAATATAATTTAATTCACTAGCACCCGATCCTCCATCAAACTTGACGGTATCGGTACGAAATGGAAAGACCGCGATCGTATATTGGTCGCCTCCGGCCCAGGGGAATTATTCCGGTTTCCGGTTGCGGACGCAGAGCTTCAGCGATACCGGAAATCCCAAGACCACCGTCATCCCTGTCGATTCGGTGCCCTACACACTACGTGATCTCACGCCTGGTGCCACATATTCGCTTCAACTCTTCACCGTATTGGACGCTAAAGAAAGCGTCGCTTATACCAGCAGGAAAAATACCTTGAGAATTATAAATGTTTCGTAACGATCGATACTAGCGTTGGATTATTTATAGAGCCAAACATCCCGGGAAAGTTCATCGTCTGGTTCAGAAACGAGACAACGCTGCTGGTGCTATGGCAACCGCCTTATCCGGCCGGAATATACACACACTACAAAATTAGCATAGACCCATCTGATGCGATAGAATCTGTTCTCTATGTAGAGAAGGAAGGCGAACCACCTGGTCCTGCACAGGCAGCTTTCAAAGGACTTGTTCCAGGTCAGTTTGCTAGCATGTAATCACACATATTACAAAACTATCGAATACACCAAATAAATCAGATGTTATTCCGTAAACATATTTCTATAAATATATACATATTATATTTTTTCAAATTGCAAATAAATAAATCTTATATATCACGCATTTTCCCTTTCTTCAAAAGTGACACAATTCACAAAATTAAGTTTTCCAGAAAAAGCAAAAACTATTTTTCAACTTAACAAAAAATTATTGATACATCGAATAATATTGGCGAAAAAAATCCTTAACATGATCAAATGTTATTTTTATTATTCTCGTTTCATCCTTAAAAAAATCATCCTTTTTTTAGTGATAATTTTGAGAATTTTTTAATGAAGTTAAGTTAGTTTACTTTTGATAACTGATAGAAATTGCACATCAAAGTTAAATCGATTTCGTTTTCTTTTTATACACATGCGAACGGAGCTATATCTAAAGTAAAATCGCGCGGAGAAAGTATGCATCTGCTGTAAATAGAGCAATGCATGAATTGCAAGACGAATAGATTCCACATCAGTTATATCAATATTTATTTTTTTTTACATTAAAACAAAATTAAAATCTATTTAGTAAAATATAACTAGACTTTTCAAAGAAAATTTTTTATCTTAAGACGTGCCGATCGATATAATGATTTCTTTTTTTTATAAAAATAAAAGAAGAAGCCAATATGTG